GCAAAATCCCACAAGGCGGCATAATGGCTATAAAAGGGAGACAAAGCCATCTGTTTGTAAGCGCGGAGCCACGAGAGAACCTGTACGAATTTTTCAGAAAGAAAGCTTTTTAAGTTGCCAAAGAAATTCGTCCTGGTCTCTGTGGCTTTGTGCTAAATACCAGCAGTTGTCAGTTTTGCTTTCTAAGACAACTTATCTGTGTCATTTTTGCCTTTTCAGCCTAAAGTACTCTAATAAATTGTGACAACAACCACTTTAGGAAGAGGGACGCTTCACAACTAGCTCGAAAGCAAGAGCGGGCCTTAGAAGAGAATCTGTCTCCGTCAGAGGAGCACACAAAGACTCACCGCTTCGGACGACTGAGATGGCATGGCTCCAAAAATGAACGAGGACACCCGTCGACCGATGCCAGCCAGGAGGCCCTGAGGTGCCTTGAGAGGCTTGATCAGCAGTGCCGTCTGTGAGGTAAAATTTGCAATGTATCGCAGGGGCAGTGAAAACAAATTTTCAGACAACCAATACAACAGGCACACAAAGACAAAAAATGTTTATTTTTTTTTCGCCTTTCTCTAATGTGCTCCTTGACCATGAACACATTTCAACGTGCCCAAGTTTCATTACCCACTCCACAAAGCTATTTCAATCAATCAATCAATCCAAAGAAAAACCTGGCCATGACATGCTGAACTTAAGTGGAACAATTAAAATGAAATCACTAAGAAAGAAATATTACAACCATTAACAATACAAGCTGGTGCAGTTGGGCTGCTAAACAGAACTTGGTTGCAAGAAATAGTACCAGTTGCCAAATATATTTGTGAAATTTTCAGTTAGATTACTAGATATGTGGGGTTTAACGTCCCCAAACCACCATATGATTATGAGAGACGCCGTAGTAGAGGACTCTGGAAATTTGGACCACCTGGGGTTCTTTAACGTGCACCCAAATCTGAGCACACGGGCCTACAACATTACCACCTCTATCGGAAATTAAATTTTCAGTTAAGCTATTAAGTAATAGTTTTCTGAATATGATTACACATACACTCATCCATGTCTACTGTGTCTTTCTCTCTCTCTCCATATAACAGTGGGCATAGGTGAATATCTGAGCCCTTCAAGCATAACAGTTTCGGAAGTGAACAATTAGACATACCTGAACACATGTAACTACTCCGTAAATGTGTTTTCACTGCAGAGTGGGACTGCTATGCCGCGAAGCCACATTTTAAAGCTAAATGTGCAGACTTCTTTTACATAATTATTTTTTTAAGTTTAAAAGCATATTGCATGTGCCAAGCATCAGAAACATTAAAACATAACGCATTTTACCACACATGACTTGCAGCCTACTGCTATTAAAATCCTGCTGCAATTCAAGGCTGCTTCCATGACACCTGTAACCAACTTTCGCACATGCCAAGTTCTAATTCTTAAAAATGCTGTTTAAGCTAGCTGGGTCATGAGAAAAATGCTTATTATTCTTTATATTATATTACGTATTTTACTTGATTAAAAATTATTCGACCAAGTGACTATTTGCGTCAAACCTCGAATTTACTATTTGACGATCCCACAGAAGTCACAGAATGTTGCATGAGCACATTTTTTCAACCACAATCTACCATAAGCTATGCAGCCAAATGACTCACCTGTCCGTCAACTGTGGATGGTGTGACGAGCATCAGAGAGCTAGTGGTGGTGGCCAAAATGCAGCCCATGGGCTGTCATGGGAACAAAATGACAGTCAATTAAGCATCTATACTGTTATATTACACAAATTGATGCCCTGTTTCGGTCTTGTCTAGAGTGCTAAATATTTATTTACATTCAACACTACTGTTGTGCATCAACGAGATCCGCAGCATTACTAGCGCTTGTCTGCAATGAACCTGTGCACAGACACTGTGGTACCATCAGTGCTTCCTTTGGTTCATCCATATCCTTTGTAAACATTGAATCACTATCTTTCAACAACTTTGAAAACTTTTTTTTCGAACAGCATTTGATTGTTATAAAACCTGATGTGACATTCACAAAATCATACAACAAGCTTTAGTTCATAAACATAATAAAAAATTCTGAAGAGTCAATACTACAGTAGAATCCAGATATATATCTTTGTAATTCGATGTGTGGCATATGTACCATTAGAAACACACTTGCAGTGGCATTGGTTGGTCTAGTGCTTTATATAGGCACTGAAATTTGCTGTGAACTTTTTCAAGGTTTCCTTGTCCAAGTCACACTGCTTGTCTGTTTTAATCTACATACACATTTTCTTCTATTTCAATATAACATTCTATTCAGTGCGCATTATATGTAGGCAAGATGAAATTAGTTGGGATGATATAAATTGCTCGTTGATGTAACTTTCTTGTCATGCTATTGATATCTGTAACGCAGAATGTAACACAGTAACTTCTGCGTTCTTTCTGAATTTCTTATTACTATGACTTTGTAAGCAGAATAGGTTGCGAACTGCTGCCTGTGTAGCTAAGGCCAATGGGCTCTTCAATAAGGTAAACTCAAATTGCAATGTAGGCCAAGGAAAACCTTTCAGCACGGGCATTCCAAGGGGACATTAGTTGGAATGAAGTAATGTGTGTTGTTGGGCTAGTTGGTTATTAGATTTTGAAGACGTGTTTAAACCGCACGAAGAAGACAGAAAATTAAACACATAGAACGATCACACACCTGCGCTTTGTGGGCGATCCTTCCATGCGGCAAACGTGTCGTCTTCTTCACTCAGTTTAAAAATGTCATCAAAAGTCGACATACCCACTTTGTCTGTGTACCATCATCTCGCCAAGCTATGCACCGTGTTTTGTACAAGAGCGATTTTATGAACAGAAACACGTGCCACAGAAAAATTGTCTGAAGCACCTATAGCCCAATACTTATTGAAAAGTCTAAGAAAGGTATCGACCAGATGACTAAAAGGTGACTGTCAATTGCCTTTGTGATCAAAGAAATAGTCCCGTCCATGAGTCGGAAGGGAATGTCAGTGGCCACATGACTCGCAATGTCAGTGTAGAATGTGAGGCTATTAGTGCAGCTCATATTCGCCTGCCACTGTGGAGAAAATGCTACTGCCTTCTCGATTTGTAACCAGCTATATGCCTGTATGTGCTACCTCTACAGCACACTCTGCTTCAATTTGTCGGCTCCAAGCTTTCACGGTGGATGTCGATATTGCTTTGTTAAAATGGACAACCAACGAGACAATGATTGTTGCTGGGCCCACCCACCTGTGAATTTGTGAGAGAGTAACACTCCTCTCCCTGAAGATCTGCCAGGGCATCGGTCGAGGAACCCTCGTGGGCGATGTTGGGCCAGTAGCGAAGAATGCCTGCCGGAGCCACCGCCAGCGCAGCTGGAGCCAGGTCGTCCCTCAGCAGCACACAGACCAGGTCGGCACGATGCGCCAGGTCGCTCGGTGGAAGCGTCAGCATGCGGCACTGTCAACATGGCGCAGCGCGTTTCTGTCAGGCACGTTGCACGAGTTTTCGAATAGCACATGCAAAGCTTTGCGTGCACTATCTGCTGCGATCACTGCCACTGTGCATGTGTCTTAACGTTAACCGCCGTTAGCATTTGCGGTCCACCCGCAGAAAATCCGAAACGGTGTGCGGCCCGCAAAGCCCCTTTGCAATGACTCGAGCGCAAAGCCTCTCTGCAATGAAAGAGCATGGAACATCAACACGGTGGCTAATGTCTAAATGGTCGTGGCCACCGAGTTGTAACACTAATTCGAAACAAATGATGTGTTCACGACGTCATGCGAAAGCTACCATTAGAATGTTACGATTATCACATGACCCTTCAACGACGTTGACCAACTCGTCATTTCTCCAAAGCCAAGAGCTTTCAGCCAACGTAACCGCCATGGCTAGTATGCTGTCTAAGGGTCACCTCTGTGTCAGTATGGCAGTGTAAACAAATGAGCCTTTGTGCAACAGGCAAATTAAACTACAAAACGACAGGTTGAAATGCACAGAATACTTACACTCCTGTTGCGCGATCCTTGCTTGTACTGCCACACAAACAACTTCCGCCCACAGACGAGCCATGCCCAACCGCAGCTCGAAATGCGGGCACTGATATCTGTACCAGCTGCGATAAACGTAGAAGACAAATAAATAAATCGGCTGAACGCGTTTGGAAGACCACAAGCAACCAAATACGTAGAAAATGAGCGATCGTGCTACGTAGGCCCGTGCTTACGTTCAGCTTCGACAAGAGCTTCGCTGACAAGTCACTGGCAAAATGGTCCCGAACTGCTCGACTACATGGTCTGCCGTTTCCTCGAGCACTTGGGACTGGTGCAGGGAGCTGTCTTGACACAGCGACAGCATGCTTCGATACATGAGTGGAAAGAAACACACATCAGTCGCGTTGCCTCTTGTTCATGGGGAGAAGACTCGAACAAACAAGCGAAATAACGCGTAAACGAAACCAAAGGTAATCACCCAGGCGTGCATGGCGAGCGGCCGTAGGCCAGCGGCGTTCCAACACTACGCCGGCTTCTCGACATCGAGTGCGAGGTTGAGAGGAAGGAGCCACCGGGGGTGCCCGAACGACGAGGTGTGTACATGTTTTTTAGCGTAACAGTTTTAACAGTCGCGTCGGTACAGTGGTCAAGTCAGAACGAACGGCAGGCTCGCAATTGAGACACCGGTCTCGCGACGATCACATCGAAAACAAGCGGCAACGACCGACAAATCCCACGTGATATGCCAATCCCCTATTTCGACGGGAAGCGTGAAATTAACGAAAGCTTTTTGCTGCTGTCGTTTTTGATTGAACTTTTCCACCAACAAAAGCATGAACGTTAAAATTATTAACGATAGAAGCGCAGGTGAAGATTGTCGTTTACCACCACCTGAAAATGCAAGTTTTACGTCGAACCATTGCTGCGTAGACATTATATACGCATGCTACAGAGTAAATAACGTAAATCGTTGTCAGGGCGACGTTGTAACTTGAGTTGCCGCCGACACCTATCAGGGGAGGAATCGGCGCTCGTGATGCAATCGCGAAAACATGTCGCGATCGCGTTGTCTCGCGTGCGCTGCTAGCTATGCCGCTTGGTTCGATTGCCGATTGTAAAAAATTCGTAACCTCGCGAATCTCGGCGCTTGCTGTGATACATAACGTCGTTGACAGGTTGTCCCGCCCTGTAGTGCTATTCTAGACCAGTGATCGACGTTGATCAAAGCCTTTATTGGCCCCACCCGCGGTGCTGTGTGGGACATTCGCACCGAGAAAAGAAAGACGTCCTCTCCCAGGTAATCAAGAGCGTCGATTCTTTCACGCGGACTTCACGTGCCCAAAAATGGAGGACTACGAGTGGAAACCGCCGTCTGAAGCGGAGCTGAAGGTCCTCGAAGCTAGGCGAGAACGTATGGACAAGATCAGCGGCATCATGGGCGACTACCTTCTGAAGGGGTACAAGATGCTCAGCGAAGTTTGCGATGTGTGCAGCGTGAGTAGTGTCTCGCTCTACGTTTCAGTCGCTCTCCCGAGTGTGCCAGCATCCTTTCGCAGTACAGCGCTGTTTTGTGTCGCTGCAGACCATACTTTTGGAGGACCGGCAGCGCAACGCGTACTGCATCGCCTGCTCAGAGGTGGACACCATGGAGAACGCCAAGGACAACCCGGGTAGGTTGACTTCTGAAGCTCAGAGGTTTGTATGCCTGTTATCACGACCATTTGGTTTTCGAAAGTTGCACTTCGAACGTCGACGGTGTCCTGTCTGCACTTTGAATTCGATGCTGTAGTTCAAAGTTTGAGCTTAGTTCGTTATAACCGATAATTCGCGATATTCATGCTCTTTTATGGTTTAATTGGCCACGCTTCATATCGTTGACATTTATTTGTACAGAAAAAAAAAATGCGAGTGCCGCTATGATATCACCTGTAATGAAGAAGTATTTGGTTTGCATGAGGCTTAAAACTGGGAAGTAGCACAAAAAGTAAAATAATTATTGAAAGACAATTCGCTTCTCTATTATTTTTAAAAATGCGGTTTTGACACTGAAGCTTTTGTTGAAAATGTGGTCACGTCTTACTCCAAATAAGTGTGAATGCAGGCCTGTTTTGTCAAACGAACCTTGTTCTGTTGTTATTCTGCCTTCGCATCTTTCGCTCTTGTCTGAAGTGCCACAAGGAGACTGCCGAGGATCACCTCATTCATGGTGGCTTTGAAGCATCAAATAATCCATTTTCGTATCTTGAGATTCACATTTGCACAAGCTTGCCAGCACTCACCCCCATGTCATACAAGCATATGCGTCTGTTGCTCCCCATCCCATGGTTGGAGAATGTTCCAACGTGTCGGTACGGTTCACCTGCGACAGCAGGGGAAGGGGGGTGAAGATTAACAGGGTTTTATTTTAAATCCTGGCGATGCCATGCCGCCGATTTCCTGCAGGGTAGCGAAATAGCTATTTGAGATAGTTGGTAACGATTCATTTTAGATGCAAAAGGTGGGGCACAGTACAAAATAGAGAAGAGAATGACTACACAGGTGCGCACTTGTAACTGCAGGCTTATTAAAGAGGCAACACATATATAGGATGTTTGCAAGCGAGCCATCCGCTTAAGGTGCTTGCAGCATACGCTGCTGTCTCTGTGGTCCGTGGTGGTGCAGATGTTCTCTGGTGTGGCGCTTTATCGGCTCTGTTAAAACGACGAGAGGCTGTGTGCATGACGCTGCAATGTGTGTAGATAGAATGCGATTGAGTGCTTATGCGGAGGCCACCAAGATGGACGCACTGACGCTTGCGTCATCTCGGGCCGCCGTGCGACCTGCCTGTGTTCTACAAATTTAGCGCATGGTACAGTGTCTCTCGCCTAAAAAACAGTAACTATCCCCATTTTAAAGAAAAAGCATGAAGATGCATGCATATAAACGAAAAAAGTAAAAAAAAACTGCTGGGAAGGTGTGATGAAAATTAAGAAGGTTAGTGCAGCATGTTGATCAAATAAGAGCACTGTTTCTTTGATAGGGCTATAGACAGGTGACTGACCCATCATCCCCCGCATCTCTTAATGTGCAGAGCTTCGAATTATTTGCGAATGGTTTTTTTTCTGGTGCCTAGGTAGAATGGTTTCATCAACAAAGAAAGGATAGCAGCCGCAGATGGTGCAATGCAGCATCAAGTGGGCATCATCCCCTGTTATACTCCTGTAAACGAATGATTATTCAACTCTTCGGACGCCACTTATGAAAAACTGTCAATGCGTCAAATTGAGCCAGTGTTATTTCAAAGCACTCGATGTGGTATTGCAACAAAAATAATGTCATAATACATTAATTTATGTGTTATAGAGATCATTCTTGATTGCCTTGTAATTTAATATCTAGTGATTCTGAAACCATTCATGCTGCGCTGTGATCACACAACTCCTTTTACATTGTACGCAGTGCAGAATTGAGCAGGGCTGGATAATAATATACATACCCTAATTTTGAGGACTGGTGTGCATGAAAGCCTCAGGCTACAAGACTACGCTCAGGCAGGGGCGGCGCCAGGGGGGGGCAAGGGTGGGCTGGAGCTTCCCCAAAATTCTCGCCTGCCCCCCCTATGCCCACCCAAGTGCCCGGAAGCATATATTGAAAACCTAGTAGGAGCAGAGCTAGCTTGCCCCCCCCGGAGGAACTCACTTTTCGTGGTTGCCCCCCCCCCCCCCCAGTAAAAACATCCTGGCGCCGCCCCTGCGCTCAGGAAAGTTATCGACTCCATGATCCAGCTTCAATTCTTTTCCGCTGGGCTGCACCACACTGAAGGTTTTTTGTTACTTTGAAGTATGATTTAAAAAGCAAATGCTACTCACGTTAAAAAAATTGCTGTAATCTGGCTATATTTCATGTTCTTTTCATTTCTACTAGGATATAATCACACCTTCTGGCCAGTTGTCAGTCCCTTTAAGCATCGGCCAGTTTGGCCCACGTAAACACAACCGCATGACAGTGCTTTTCTGCATGGTGGGGGCCCTCCTAAGCAACTATGTACTTCTTTCTGCTGAGCATTGGGCTGGAAGTACGCTTGTATTTGCTTTAATGATGGCTGGCTGTTGCGATTCTCTGCCTCACTCAGCAGCAGTGAATGCTCAACTATTTCACCAAGGCTGTGGTGTGTTAAGGTGTACCCAGGGGCCTTTTACGGAACCTTAAGTTGAGTATCCAAGAACGATTGAGCACCAGGTCTTTCTTTGTCACTTAAAGGGGCCCTGGAGCACATCTTGAGCATGGTCAGAAAATGCTGCCGATCGGTGAAGAAGGCTCTCGACAACACGCGAGGCGAGTATTATAGCACAGCACGCGGCCTGGAATTCACAATAAATTATCAAGCTAAATATTTCTTTCTTTCCTCTCAGCAAATCATGTTATATGCCCACAAATCACACGTCGACAACCAATCTATCAGCCTTTGGCTGATTTTAACATGGCGCGCCCGCTCATTACAGAAATCGTTGCGAGAGGCTACTTCGTGTCCACGCGTGCGCGCGATCACACTAAAAAAGTCGCGCATTCGAAAAAAAAAAAAAAGCTCAAGGTTGCAATGCACGCGTGATGTTTTTCTGTGGCCCTTCTATTCCTCACTGCTTAGCTTCCAGTGCTTTCGTCGGGATGAGAGAAGAACGGAATTGCAGCATGCGACGAACCTTTGTAACTCCACTCGCACTGGACGGATTCTTAAAATTTTTGCGGTGTTGAATTCATGAGGCAATAAGCTCTTCCCAGTGAACTCATTCCATGTTTACTTGAAAAAGTGTTTCAGGGCCCCTTTAAAGAATGGGTTTCAATTTAGTACTGGGAATCAATCCAAGCGCCTAGTGTATTTAATGCAGATGCTCAGCCATGTAGCCACTGCTGCAGATACAAATGGCTTATTTATAATTTCGTGACCTTAATGTAGTTTCTTCATATTGTATGGCAAAGCATTGTATTCCTTAAATGGTCACTCTCCATTATAATAAGGGTTGCAGTGCAAGCAAATGCAAGGCAAAGAGGGACAAGACGCCTTCCGTTCGCTTTTCTTCCAGGGCTTTCGTGCTTGCACTGCAACTCTTATTATAATAGAATTTAACAAAGTAGCCCAAATAGCCGTTCTTCTTCAATGTGCACTTTCTTTATGCACCTTGCAGTTCTCTCGGATGATGCAGCACAGCGCCTTGTCGAGGATCGCCAAGTAACCTCAGAGTTGACCGCCCTTTCCCAGAGCATTTCAGAAGATATGCACCGCAACCAAGCACCGCAGCTCATCCCACGCCGAGCCACAACAGTCATCGCGAGCAGCGCCTCCGTTCCCATGGCTCCTGCTACTGTCGTAAGCATGTCGCCGTGCATCTTGGCATCGCGAGACCCAGGGATGTGCGGAAGCCAGCAGCAAATGGTGGAGAATGCCTCGATGGCTCCCGACTCGACACAGCGAGACCAGGAAGTCGTGGCAGCCATGCAAGCCGTTCAGGGAAAGATGGTCTGGGCTACACGGGAACTGAAAATGTGTTCCAGCGTCGAGCTGTCTATCCAGATGTGCAACCTCATCAAGACGTGTGCGGAGGCCATCACGGCCTTGAATGACGTGAGGTCTGCTGACGCAGGTTCGGACTGCTCTGCCAGGCAAAACAGGTGTGAATGAAAAAAAGGATTGCAAGAGAGTTTGGTTGTCTGAATAAATATGCATGGAAATGTTTCTGTACATTGAAGCAGGTGCAGGTGACCTGCCTAACTGGAAGGTGCTAACATAGGCATGCGCAGGGTTTCACGTTGAGGCGGGAGGCTGGTCTTATCGCTGATTGCCCCCTTGTTGATCGTGTCAGGAAGAAAAACAAGCTTTGCAATGGATGCGAACATCAAGGTGAAGCGATGACGAGCTTCTTACAATGGCGCCTGCCTTTGGTCCCCGAATTTCACGGGGCTAATGTGCGAAGTGAACACTTCTTGAAATGCGATGTAGGTGTTGTCGGCTGCCATTATGCTCAAGAACCTGTGTGGCAATATTTTGCGCATTAAAGACATGCAAGTCTGATTCAGTAAAGCTTTGGGGCAGGTTTAGCACTCCCCCTTCCATGCACATGCACTGTTTCATGGACTGTAGCTTGCTGCTTCATCATTGCTACAAACGTTACTGGATGGAAAGCTTGCATTGGGACAAAAGATCTTTTAACAGCAAAGCTGTTTAAGTTTGAAGAATTCTCGTTAGTTGCAAGCAAATTCTCATCATGAACTGGCACACGCTCTCTACGTCTTGTCCCATAACCTTGTACTCTGCTTCACTACCAGAACACGTGCGACGATTTGTACAGCACTTGGGTGTACATAGTAGCACCTTCTTCCCCACTAACTACTTGGGTGTAGTTGGGGAGAGGGGGTTAATTCCATTTTTGCCCGAAATTTTAAAATTTTGCTTGCGTATATATACATGTGTGTATACAAACCAAACAAACAAACATGTAAAGTATGGTTGAACCCCCCTCCTCTCCCGGAAAAATTCCTGGCTACGTCTTTGGTACGCCATCTGTCACAATAACTCTGATGGGCAAGAAAACAAGTACAGAGAGAGAGAGATCTTCTTGGTGGTGACGTTGCCATGGCAGCATCATCACCCAGCGAATAAAGGTGCAGTTTCTGCGAGTGCTGCCAAGCTTAGCTCCAGCTTAAAGGGGCACTCACCAGGCTCCATACCAAATTTTAGTTAGACCGTGGGAGTTGTTGGGTGTCCGATGAGGAAGATTTTGGCACAAAAATTTTTTTAATCGGTTCATTACGAGCTGAAAAACTGTCTTTTGAAGTGGAACGAAACGAGGATGAGAGGAGGCGAGCTCGAAACTCTTGCTGCTCTTCCGCGTAGCCTTCGCAAGCCAAATTTCTTCCCTACCCTCTCCAGCATCTGACCAAGAGGTCACGTGCGCATGATGTGCCCTAACAAGCCCAACCCTCGTGCACACGAGCAGCTTTTTTTTCTTTTTTGACCAGCGTTGTTTAGGGTCTACTGCTTGTTTCTGCGTGATGGTTTGGAAACGCTGGCTTAGACACGGTAGAGTGGAAGAGCACAATGAGTGCACGAACGCGTAGGTGCGTTCCACGGCTCTCGTCTGCTCGATGCGCTGACCGCAGAATCGCGGGGGCACAAATGCATGCGAAACGCCGGCACATTAGCCCCGCATCTCGCTTCAAATCACGGGAAAAAATAAAAAAGTAATAACAATAAACTCTCAGGTTCTTTAGTTGGCTCTCATTATTTATCTGGAGATTTAATAATCTCTTCAGGCAACAAATACATAAACTATGCATGCTCTGTTAAATAATTTTCGCCCTATCACGTGCCGCTATTGGCAACGTCAGAGCATAGTCGTCTATGTAGAGGACCAACTTCACTGCATTGCCGTGTACGTAGGGCCATTCATACGCGCACGTCATGCCCTCATACTCTGGGCGCACGCCTGCAAAAGGAAAAGGCAGCAGCATTCATCTTGAAATTTGACCCTATTCTGCGGCGCGTAGCGTTGCATATTCTGGGAGACGTGGTCATGAACGCCTCATCTACGCATTGCGCTTGTCAGCTCGAAATTGTCAAACCTGGTGAGTGGCCCTTTAAGCCGCTGTACTGAAAATCCCACTGCACCACTTTGATCCTTCATGGTCGATTGAAATGGCTCACAAGCCATTGTTATATCCGAAACAAAGCCACAAATGCTTTCAAAGCCACAGGCACTACGACTGGGCAAATCCATGTGTTACCCATCATTACCCTGGTGGTTTAATGAATGAACCACCAGTTTCCCCTATAAGCATAGTAGGAAATGCTATACATAGTACTTGCCACTTACAGTAGCGGTGCTCTGTAAGGACTGGTTGCATTCAATGTTTTTTTATATGCTTTATGCAGTACAGTGCAATACTTTAGCATAGAAATTCCAAGGAAATGTTACAAGTGTTTGGTAGGCAATAATTTTATATATATCAAGGTTTACACCTGTGCTAACGTGCCAAAGCACTTCATTTCAGTGCGTCAGACTTTACAGGACCTCTGTCAGTCTTGCGTTGTGTTCTTGGGTTCACCGATGTGTCCTCGCTGACGTGACCTGCCGAGACGTCAGGGTTGCGTCGGACCCGGACTCGCTTGGGCAGCATGGAGGGTCTCTGGGTTGAGGAAGCAATGCTGTCAAGTTGGGAAAACGAAAAACAAAAAGATTTACTGGCACATTGTCCAACTATTTACAACATAAATAGGTTAGAGTTCAGCAAGCCACGAACATGGTAAATGGACCATTAACCCATGGTGCAGAGCGACGTCTTGCTCCTCACATCGCCTTTTCAAGCCCTTAGTCAGGCTCCTCCTCCTGGATTGAAAAGCGACACCACCCACCATGGCACCATACACACAGTCGCCGAAGAGTCGTTGCGAGGGGTCAGTGTCACTCAAGGGGGGGATCTATCATGGGGGCAAGTGGGCGGACAGGTAGCTTACTGCCGTCTCTCTCCAGAAGAGCAGCCAAGAGTCAAGAGATTTGATTGCTCTTGTCAAGACCTACAAGGCTGGTCGGCTGCCCAAACAAGCCATTGAGGAGGATGACAGCATAAGCATTGGCGCGCTGTTTATAGAAGAACAACATTTTATTATCCCTTTGTGGCTCTTTCCGCAGCTTGGCACTTGTTTTAGAGAAAGGAACAGGGTTGCCTAGTTGTGAAAATGCATCTCAGGTGCGCTTTTCATGGCCAGCGTGTCGTTAACGACTGAGAGTCACCGCACTTGTTTTTTGTGCCTTTTTTTACGGTAATTTGTAGCTTTGCATCTGGTAATCATGAAATTTAATCATAAAAGCGAGCATCATTAATTCACAAGAATCTTGCATCAGTTCAAAACACTAGCCTAAATACCATAAGAAACTAGCACCCCACAGTGGGGGTGCGCCTGAAACTATGTGTGCTCAAGCTTTGGTGATGCTGACCGCACTGTTTTCAAATCGTGGGTGGTAAAGAATAAAACAATGTTGGGGCTTTGACAAAACCACCTTGAGCTCAGCGCGACAACAAAGCGAGAGGGGTGACATACAATAGTCCTTGCGTGGTGCCAGTAGGGGTATTGTGCGTGCCCCGCAAGTTTTCTCAAACATCGACAATAGATCTCTCTCTGTTTGCAAACAGTGTGACGTCCCTGCAAGCACCTCACCCACCATCCCCACTCTCGGAGCAAGTGCTGGTTGGCAAGAAAGTTCCGTCAGCGATGGGATCTTTCTGCATAACAGCACTGTGAGTGTCTAGTACTGGTACTTGAAAGCGGTAGTTCCATTAATGGCCTGCACATTAATGGACTGCAGGAGCCATAACATTTGTGCCACTGTTCAGCCTGAGAATAGTATTGCTGCTGCCAACAAAAACATTCCCTGCTGGCTTGTCACCAATCAGCGGTTGGCTCTGCCATGACGCGACATTGCCGCAGTTATTTCAGTTGTTCTTGACTACAAGCATTGAGCCCACAACAGAAAATATGCAGACATATTATGTATGGCAGCGTGCCACGGGAAGCAGTTGCCTCAAGCAGCTCTAAAAAACCAGAAACTTCCACTCCTCACGAAAGGATGGGACAGCATGTTCATTTTCAGGATGGCTCTCCAAGGCCAGGCGGGGTAGTACGGCAGCTGCAATTGTTGGGTCCTCGTCATTTTGAGATGCCAGTTCACCAGGTTCCGTACACCTACTGCATGTAGCAACATTTGCAGTAGTTATAATTTCATAAAAACAATACATGGAACACTCTTACATTTACTGTGTTCTAGTGTTGCCATTCTTGATATCGTAGGCTATAGCACTTTTACGTCCAAAGAGGGATAACTGTGCACTGTCACATCTTTCTCGGTACAAAGTTAAGCAGCACGAAACAGGAAGAACAAGAAAACACGCACACGCAAAACTGGTGCTGAACTACCACTGGTCCTGCGTGCCTGAGTTTTCTTGTGCCTTCGTATTTCGTGCTATTTAATTCTGCACGTGTTCCTCCAACTTGCTGAAACCAAAGCACTGTTCTCTTTATGTTCTGTTTTGTTCTGTTCTGTTCTGTTTTAACTGTTTTGCTGTGGAGAGGTTGAGGTGCCTATTGCCTCGGCTACTCCATATCACAAAGTTCTGCAGCGAAAAATAGAATAATAATACAGAACGGTACCTGCAAATTAACAATACGGAAAAGAAAAAAAAAACATAATAGCACACTGAAACAAGTTCAAATATCATGCCAATACACAGTTTTCTTCGCGCAGTTCACACAGTCATAAACTATTTACACGCACACCTTACTATTCTACTGTCAGTATATACATGACCACATTTTATATATACCCATCTCTGGCTGTCTGTCATAGGTGCTTGTCCAGTCCGGTCTCCACTAAAAAGTCTGTCGGGAAGATTATTGCCTTTTTCTGGAGCTGCATCTCAGGCCGTGGTCCAAGTAGTTTCTTTATTGTGAGGGGCCGTCTGTCCAAACTTGCTAATTTGTTCTTTAATTTTTCTCTTTCATTCGCGCATTTAACGCACTCCAAAAGAATATGGTGAACATTTTCTTCTGCATGACCACAATGGCATTCCGGTGAGTTGGATCGATGTATCTTGTGCAGGAAGCTGTTTGTGTATGCTACTTCCAATCGAAGACGGTGGATTAATGTCTCTAGGTGTCGTGGGAGGTCTGTAGCTATGGAAAGTTTT